TCTCTCTCTCTCTCTCTCTCTCTCTCTCTCTCTCTCTCTCTCTCTCTCTCTCTCTCTCTCTCTCTCTCTCTCTCGTGCGCGCGCGCTCTCTCTCTTCCCACAGTCACATAGACAATGCCTCACAGTTGCTCCAGGTAAGGCTTGTGACAACCCAGGCCTGGACTGTGTGTATGTGTTGGTGTGGGTGAGTGGGTATGTTGCCATGATCGATATACAGTATTATACACAACTCCAAAGAAAAAGCATGGCTGTGCTGTGCTGTGTGTGTGTGTTGTCATCTTTGCTATACAGAACTCCACAAAAAAAGAAGTGTGACTGTGCCTGACTGTTTCATCGGACTTTCACCGACTCACCAGAAGGTTGAACCCCGACAGTCAGCCCAGGGATGCATTTGACTGATGGAAAAGGGCTCACCACGTCACCCAGAGTTAGTGATACCCCTGAGAAAAGTGGTGGATTTTGCTCACACCAACCTTCTGTGCGAGTAGATATGCGCATGCAYGCTGCTCTTCAGTACTTTTTAAAAGTCGCACAGCCTGAAAGCCTGAAAACAAGGGCCTACAGGCCCTGTGTCGTTTCAGGCTAAATCAGGGCCTTTCTGGCCCTGAGTATTTTCAGCCTGAAACTGAGGGCCATTTTCAGGCCCTCATCAGTCCGACCCGCCCTGAAACTCAGGCAACAAACCAGGGTTTTAGCACAGGCCATTTCAGGCCTGTTTTCAAGACAACCCCTGGTTGAGCTTCAACGCCAGGGTCTAGCACGTTTCGGCATTGGCAAGAGCAGCCTCCTGGACGGGCCAGTACTATATAGGACTGGCCCGCCCTGCAGGCCGGTAGGTAGTTCCTGGGCACTTCCCAGGCACTTCACGTGCAGTTCAGGAGGCAGGAGGTAGTCTTCAGGATTCGGCATCAGCACTCTGGAGGAGCGCTGCAGGAGTAGAAGTGGCGTTAGCAGTAGTCTCTAGCGCTGCGCGCTAGTAGCGTTAGCTGTAGTCTTCAGCGCTGGGCGTCATAGCAGCTAGAGTAGTACTATAGAGAGAGAGATTGGGCGGAGGCCAGAGGGACTTACCTGCAGCGCCATCGCTCCAGCTTCGCCTTCGAGGTACCTGCAGCACAGCGCCACCTTCACAGGTTAGTACCTGATATACGAGAGAGAGAGAGTTCTTCTTCTTCCTATTCTCAGTCCACCATCTCCCTCTCACCCTCTCGGTATCTGACTTCACTGCATCAGCAGACTATGAGAGAGAGAGAGAGAGAGAGAGAGAGAGAGA